CCATCTCCATGTCCAAGAAATTTTATGTTGTTAAATGCCAGTGGACAGTAAACAAAGGATTTATATTTTGTATATGTTATTGTTTTTCATTATTTTTCCCTTTTCTATGTATCTCCCCTCCTTTTGCAGCCGTGTAATTAGCCTTATTTAAATGACTTATCATAAAGCCATTCTCTGACGTTGTAGTTTACAGTGAAATTTAGTAATTTTGTTTTAACAAATAGTAATTTACCATCCCTACTATATTTTCTTTTTAAAAACGGTCGTTTTTACTGCTGTAAGACGTTGGGGGACGCGATTTGGCGTTATATGTATTTTCTTATGCTAGCTACTGGTATTTCATGAGGTATCAAATCTACTGTGCATGTGTCGGAGTTATTGGCTATGTGTGATAATTAGGAAGTCAGAAGTTTTTTGTCTGTTAGCCAAGTTTAATTTTTTTCTTGAGCTACCCCATCACTGGGTTCCTGTGTGTAACAAAAAGGCAAACATTACTAAAAAGTCGCATTTTAATTCAATGATTTTATGCTTTTTTGGGCTTTCCAAAGTTTTAATACACGCTCGTATTTTCCCTTTTCTGCGGAGTTTAATATTGCAGCTGTGGTTTCAAAAGTTGCCATTTTTATTAAAATGCTTAAGTGTTTCCGTTCCACTGAGCTTCGTATACAGTATGCGAAATGGCATGAGATACGCTCATAGTTGTCAAATAAATCAGCCGCTTGTTCTCTAGTCGGTTTAAGACATTCCCCAATTAAGCACTTTATTATAATTTCAAATAGGAGGGTCTATTTACATATTCTGGGGTTTCCTAACTATCCGCTTGTTGGCGAAGAGTCGTGTGGAGCAAAGAGTCTAGCGAAGAGTACCTGGAATTTCGTAAATTCACACTGTGGTGATGAAACCCGGCTGATCCGGTTCTGCAAATTCAACCCTCTTTGCTGTTGACGTACCAGTAGATGTTGTTGACTTGTGACAAGATTTCAAAGAGCCAGTCCGGGGGCCGTCAGCCACTATGTGGCCTGCAGTCTCAAGAGGTGTAGATAGCCTAATGGTCTGTACGCTGCGGACCGTAGTGCCAAGGGTGGACTCGCGGCTCCGTGTTGCCGGGGGAACGGTTTCTAGAGGAGCAACGGTTGCATGAGCCACTGGAGGGCTGAGAGCAGCAATGAGGTTGCCGTGCCTGGGACAAGGCAAGTACTCTAAGGGTGGAACCACTGCACATGTCGCGCCAGGAGTCTCCAAACGACTAGAAATACCCTCAATAAGCATGAGCGGAGGTGGTGGGGGCTGAGCGGGGGGTTTTAGGGGCTCGAGGGGATGAAACGTATGACCCAGTAGTTGGCTATTGTGAGTGGATTCTTTTAGAGTCAGGAACTTAACACCGTAATCAGAACACTGAAGGTTGAAGTCTCTTTTGTCCTGTGGCTTCTGCTGAGCTGAAGAGCGATCCGTGTAGGCGCTGATTTCAAGAGTCTCGAACTGGGTGTAAGGATCATCGAATGTCTCCGTGAGAGTCGATTCGGGTGCCGTGGCATTTGCAGGAGAGGATCCAGAATGACCATGAATAGGACAGTTCAAAATATCAACTTCCTTTGTTCCAGAGGTGGCCGTAGTATAAACAGGATGACTATCTTGAAAACGCAAAATGCAGGGCTGATGTTTCCCGTCCTTGCTTTGAATGCTTCCATTTTCTGTACCGAGTTTGGGAACACTCGAATAGCTTTCCCGCCTGTCCGTTTTCTGAATCCTGTTTATGGGAGAATCAGTAAATGAGTACTTTCCACGTGCTTTGGCCGCGGCTCTCGGCGTCCGCATAGGCTTCAAGCGCCTGCAAAGTCGACCAAAAAGACAGTAACTCAGCGTGCCTACGACCACGAGAAGAGTGACTAATCCAATAGCTACAATAGCTGTATATTTGAGGATCTGATTTGTATCGAATTTAGAAATCCAGCCGCTCACTGAAGCACTGGAATCGCTCTGCAGGCCATCCAACCATGAGACGTCAGACAGAGTCAAGGTTACGGTCGCGTTGGCCTTCCCGAACCCATTCTTTATCAGACACACGTAAGTCCCAACATCAGATTGCTGAAGTTTCTGAAAGACAAGGTCCACAACAAACTTATTTCCCTGAGCTTGTCGAGCTCGTACATTATGTGAGGATGAAAGAGGGTAACCGTTCTTGTACCAAAAGATTTCGTCAACTGAAGAAGCCTCAAAAACACAGGACACCGTCACATTTTCGCCGAATTTGGCTCGGATGTTTGAATTCTTAGACAGAGGCTTAGGGGGGCATGCCATTTCGAAGGAGGTGATAGGATTATTGGGCAGTCCAGATATGGGGAAAAAAGACCTGCCAGAGAGGTGGGCTGGCGTTTCACACCTGGGTTGGTCCGTAGTTTCCATGCTGAGAACTTCCGGATTCCCGTCGATTCGTCCGACATCGATCAAATGAGCCACCTCTGTGTGCCTCAGATCAACGTGGAATTGAGTGTCATTGTGTTCCTGCGCCCACTGACGAAGCCACCTGAGCGAGCAGTCACAGTGCCATGGATTTCCAAATAAATAGAGTTTCTTTAATTTCATGGTTGAAAACAGGCCACTAAAGGCGTCGCTGAGTGTATGAAGTCTGTTGTAAGAAATGTCCAAAAAATCGATTTCAAACAAACCCTCCAGGGACTCTAAACTCAAATTAAAATCCTGCGTCGCGCCTGCAAGTACTAGAGTTTTAAGGGTCTTTCTGACTGGGTAAAAGAAGTGCGAAGGCACTCTTCCGAGTGGGTTCTTCATGAGGTTTAATTCCTCGAGATAGGCCATGTCAATGAGAGCACCAGGGTTAAACGACTGAGCAGAAAGAACGAGTTGATTATTCCGTAAACTCAAGGAGCGCAAATAGGGAACACTGTGGAAGGCGTCACGACGAATGACCCTCAGACGGTTTGAGTCCAGATTCAGATAGGTAAGATTTGGAAGATGTGCCAGCTGTCGTCCCTCCAAGACGGGAATATTCTGGTTATTTACAGTTAATTTCACAACCTCTTTAGGCAGAGTTTCAGGAATTCTGCTGAAGTGTGTATCAGTTTTGTCACAAATACTGTGTCGCGCATTGTAGTCGTCACCATCGACGAAAGTCACACATCCTTTGACAGCCTCACAGAAGTCGAGATAATAACCAGTAAGTGTGAGAACAACTATTAGAAGATGTCGGTTTGGCATTACATGCAAAGCGACTAGGGAACGAAGTCTCAGACTCTCCTCTTGTGCCTCGGCGCTGCTTCGAAGAGGTCACAAGAAAGATACATTAAGAGGAAATAATATGGAGGTTTTTTAGATCAAATAAAAATCCGATTCTGCATGAGCCAGTGCATTATTTCATCGCCCAAACGTGATTGGCAAATCAAGCCTAATCAGGCCGGATTCGGTCTGGCCGATTGGAAAGAATTCGGCTGAAAAAATCAGCATTTCAAATTAGCCAGTAAAAACATTTTTGTCATTCAGCCACTCTGATTGGTCAACACCGAGTGAATGCCCAGATTGAAGGCAACATTGCGGTTGGCTAGGTTAAGGTGGTAAAATGCTTGTGCGTGGCTAACCATATGTTGGACTCGATTCAACTACAGACACATAATTCAAGATTTGAAGTTATCACTCGACTTGGCAGTATCCAGTATTTTAGGCGGTCATATTCTTTTGCCCTAGTTGTACTAACTGTCATGGATTGGCGAGCATACAAAGGTAAAATAGAGAGGCAGCAAACGCCTGTTCTGTTTGCACCGTATGCCCGTTATGGTAATCAAAGATCGTAAGCGTCTGCATGAATATATTCATTTGCTTACATGAATATTCAATTTACGTCGAACCGCAGTAGACGTTTCTGAAATTGAAACGCTCCGTTATCGTGGAACAGTTAAAGTATAAACTAGGTTCAGAAAAGGGCAATTTAAAAATTTAAGCTAAAATACTCTGACATAAAGACAGTTACCTTATTAAGCAACAACGCGACCGGAAAAAATGACTTCTTGCGACCAAATCATTCAATACACCCAAAGTTCACCTACCCTGTGTAAAACAAGACATTATCAGCACAATGATGGATAACGTCTGGAATAATTTTTTTAAAATTTACATAACAAAGTCGCACTTGTTCATAGGCATCTGTGCGCTGAGTAAACACTTTCACTACTGACGTGAACCACAAGCAAGAATGAGCCTTGCTTTACATCTCACATACCAATAGAAATTAACTCTACGCCCCGAATGACGGAGCAAATTTTGGCCCAGCTAGTTGTCTGATATAATCTGCAACCCGCCAAATAAGGTCGCACCACTTTAAAGCCGCCAAACTGTTGGCAGAGTCACTTTCATGAAAAGCGGTCTCGGGAGAGTTTCAAACACTATGGGCAAATAAAGAAACCATCAGCAAACAGTAATCAGATAAAACACATCGTTTTTTAGTCTACATATTAGGCCGACCAAAGCCTTCCAATGTTTAGAAGAGTCCAATTTCACAAGAACGATTTGCGGTCTGATTAACTTTACTAACTAACTAGTGTTCTCGATCTACATGCTTTTTAGATGTTGCTTATGTAACTTTGTGTAACGGTAAATGCCTTGCTTGGTATGATAACGGAAATGCTTTCATTTCAAGATGTTAAATGGACTTGACGATTGGAACATTCAAATATCAGACAAGGTTTGATGGACGAGGTCACTCAATTAAAGTAATTTCAGAAAACTTATCAGAGCCCCGAATGAATGCTTCCAGTTGTTGTAAAACATTTTCGTTTAGTACATACCGTCAGAGCTAAGCCCACTTAGGAAACGCATGTTCATAGAACAGACAACATGTATGGTTTTGCTCAACACAACTATGAGTGCAGATGAGTTGCATTACACATTTATTCATTGAAGTTTTAATTTAGAAATCAATTAGAATGTACAAATCATGCTATTTTGTTTGAAGCTCTGATTCACACGAAATTTTACTTAGTTATCACTAGCTTAAATTAGGCGGCGCAATAACCCTGTATGGCTCGTGTGATTACTACATTTGACGGTTCAGTTAACGAATCCTCCTACTTTAGCTACGTCTTATTCAAGAAATTAGTATATAACGACGTTTCCCAGCATCTGGGAGCTTACAAATGTGTATTCGCATTGCCAATTGTACGCACTGTTATAGAAATAAATACTAATATCTTGGGCAGACTTCATGTAGTGCATATGAATGTACGATGCGAGGAAATTGGTGTTCAAAAGAATGGGTTCCAGCCATGAGCGCTATCGCCTGCTTGTTCTTTCTGCTCTACCCGATCACATTCGCATTTTTTAAACGTCTACACTCCGAAGATAGAACAAAATAAGAAGACCGACAATTACAGTAAACATTTTTATTGTTTTATCATGCTCTTTTTGGCTCACTTTACACCTTGACAAGAATTCTCTTACAAAACAAACCTTTAGAGGAGTATGACCGTCAAAGCAGGGGGATCTTAAGATGACAACGTTTGACTCATATCCTCCTAAGCCATTCAGATTTAAATCCGTAGGCCTGCTAAACCGGAGGTATGGACATGACCCAGCGAGTCCTTATTGGTCCTGTGGTATGCTTAATGTTTTGAAAATTATACTCAAAATAACTATATTCTGTTGATTGCAAACAAAAAATATGCTGTGTGCAAGTGGCAATTATTTCAGTGCACCTAGTAAAGTAAATATCTCGTCGATGTAGCTTCTGGAGGAGTAAAAACTGCCCTGTCTTCCCCTTTTCCATACGACTTTTAGCGGCTAGAGAGGTAACACGAGGCTTAGTATTGAATCGGATCTCAGAGGAATGGCGTCTATGTACAGTGAGTGACCTATCTCATGAAATGTTGGCTGAAATTCTGAAATGCGTTTTCGATTGGGAAGGATTACTTGGTCGCGGTTGTAATACTGATTACCTTAAGGCATACTTTTATAACATTTTAGACTCGGTAGGATGTCGGCTTTAAAATGCACTTCCTGTTAATCTCCTGTAGAAAGCGTGCTCGGTAGCAAATGATTACTTAAGTAGCATGCATTTTTCCCATTGATTTTCGATGGTCTTGGAAATTCAAATATATTTTATAGAAATCACAAACAAAAATATGTTTTCTTTTAGTCAATCAATAGAGAATCAGGTCTTCTTTATATTTAATACTTAAGGAAGGAGTATAATTAGGTTTTAAAAAAAGTTTTCTAATTTTCGAAAAATTTCGAGCCTGATCATTCGTTGCATTAGCGCTTAGTGATTAAACTCTACAAGGCGCATGCGTTCCGCGTAAAGAAAATTTCATATTTTTCTATGTCATTAAAGAGATATCATACAGGGTCCATAAAATTTTGCAATGTTAAACGGCCAGGTACGATGCTATGTGAATGGACATATCGTGGTCTTAAAAAGTCTCATAATTAGAAACTTTTTAAAAACCTAATTATACTCCTTCCTTAAGTATAACATATAAAGAAGACGTGGTTCTCTATTGATTGACTAAAAGAAAGCACATTTTTGTTTGTGGTTTTTATAAGATATATTCGAATTTCCAAGACCATCGAAAATCAATGGGGCAAATACATGCTAATTCAGTAGTCATTTTTTACCGAGCACGCTTTCTACAGAAGATTGAAAAGAAGTGCATTTTAAAGCCGACATCCTGTCAAGTCTAAAATGTTATAAAAGTATGCCTTAAGGTAATCAGTATTACAACCGCGACCAAGTAATCCTTCCTAATCGAAAACGCATTTCAGAATTTCAGCCAACATTTCATGAGATAGGTCACTCACTGTATGTTATTTTGGCTTCGAGCATCAACCTTTCCTCGGAAATTGTAATGTTGAGAAGGAACCCAACTTCCGCTTGAAGTCTGACAACAGACTGTGACTCAAACCGGAGAGGCTGTCAGGAAGACCAGTTCTGGCATTATAAAGTAACGTATTGACAATCAAAGGGAAACATATATGCCAGCGCGCCAACCGTCCACAAAGGACTAGATTAGAAGGCTCGAATTTTATTCTTCCTATGAATAACCGGTTAATTGTCTCCTGCCAAGATCCAAAGTAACAGGACCAACTTTACTAAGCCATTAATGCTTTGTGATCTTTCCACACCAGAGTCAAACCTTTCTGCTTGGCAAGCCCAGACGACATTATACCTCCCCGACCGCTTGAAATGGTTGTTTTTAACATTTTTCAGCTTTCACTCTTTTGCCACGACGTAAATAAATGCACATGTCTGATGACTGATAACCAAAAATTCACGCTCTGTCTGTTCACGGCGAACACGGTCAGTAAAACGTTCTGGATTCTCTGAAGCCTTGCTGAGGGGGACTGAGATAATTATGCAACAGTATTTTACAATGCAGAGACTCCGTGACTTGTGGATTGCTCTACTTGTCTTCGGAAACGGACACAGTTATATTTTCACTGCAGGGCGGCTGAGCTCCGGCTGTTGTATGACTAGATGACTTATAGTAAGTGTAAACGGAAGGGAGACATCTGCAGCGATCGTCCAATCTTAGACCTGCTATGCTTAAATCCTGAAATTACCGTGGACTCATCATACGTAC